AGATGGGGATCCCGGGGATCCCACAGGCTGGAGCGGGACCATCACTCCCCATCCTCAGCAGGAGCAGCCAGAAATGATGCTAAAATAATGCTGCGGCTACTAATTATTATTATTATTAATGAGATCCTTCTAATTGCTGCAAGGAGGAAGGTTTGAGGTCCCAAAGGGTCCTGCAAGTACCCAGCGTGTCCCAGGCGGGATCTCAGGCGTCAGGGAAGGGTGCGACGGCTGCGGAGGAGGGTCCCGGGCAAAACCCACCTGCTCCTTATCAGAGATTTTCTCCAAATTTGCCCTCCAATGTCGGATGTGCGAGCAAATGTTCAGTCCCGGGGAGACATCACCCATTTCTCTGCCTCGGTGAGAGTGAAATTAAGCTCAGGGGAAGGTGCAGGCACCGTTTATTAGACTAAAAACCATGGAGTCTTAGGGAGCCAACCAGTTCAACAATTCATATTGTTTCCTGCAAACTGATTTTTCACGAAATGATTCAGAAAAAAAAAAGTCCGACCGGTTCAGTTTTGCCATGTGAAGAGATGCCTCATTTCCCCTTTTGTTGCCATTTTTACGCCAGGCACCTGCTCCGGCACTGGCGGTCGCGGGAGAGAAATACTCCCTTCGGACCTGAAAAAGAGAAACGCCTCATCCTGCTCCAGCCCTGGCAACTCCAAGACCTTCGCCGCCTTTTTATTGTTCCCAAATAACGCCTTCCTTGTGCCTAAATTGGCCGCGGGATGCCCAAATTCCCAGGCACTGCCAGTTTTTTGGGGGAGGTGATGGGCGGTGGCGGGATACAGTGCACGGAGGAAGACGGGATGCTCGGGCCGATGTTCCTCCTTTCCCCGTATCCAAGGATGCTCGGCTGGAAATAGATAACGTCAGCCGACGTAAGGAAGGCGGAGGACCCCCGGGGTCGCCCCCGCACCACACGCCTCCAACATCCATCTCCCTTTTGTTTTTCCGCCACCGCCTCTTGTTCCTAAGGAGCATCCTATGCAAACGGTGAGAAACCATGGAAACCGGCCGTTAATATCAGCATCCCGCCAGCGAGGTCCCGGCCAGCCAGGCAAAGCGGGCAGCACCGGCAGCACTGCCTGCCAGGCATCCTCCCTTTCCCCCGGGCATCACCTTGAAACCCCAAGCGCTCACCAGGATGGGAGGAAAAAAGCCTTTTTTGGCAGGATTAATAGCAGGCCAGACCCAGCGTGGGGTGGCAGAGGGGAGGGTTTGTCTCCCTTCATCCCACCTCCCAACCTCCTCCACCTCCAAACACCAACCGCACGTCATCACCTGACTCCCGGAGCTGGGGATTTATGGAAAAGCCCCCTCGGAAGGGTAAAAGGCATAGGGAGAAGGGTCGGAGGAGACAGGTTGTTACTCTCAGGGATGTCCCCCATAATGGTTTTTCTCGTAGAGGGGAAACACACACTTCTGCCTGCATCTCTCCGGCCATGCGGGACTTTCCCGTGCCCGAGGTCTGTGGGCAGACATCACCGTCCCCTGCTTTATCCACCCCAGGGAGACTTGAAGCCCTGCAAGCTGCAACACTCGGACAAGCTTGGAAAGCCCTCAGGTGGTCGAATTTACTATTTACAGCCCTCCCCCAGCAGGGAGACACCTTCTCCCCGAGACCTTCTCAGCTTTGATCCATCACGGATCAAGAGAGGTGCGGGAAAGGAGCGGGGGCGATTTAGGCAGAGAAGTGCAGAGCTGTACCAGAAGAGAAGAATGTTTATTAATGATTTAAAAAAAGAGGCAGTACATACATACATACATAATTCTTTTTCCTTTTTTTTTTTTTTCTTTCTTTCTCCTAAGGGAAGTTGGAAAAGCATCCGGAGAACCCCAAATGCAGCGGGAGGCCGCGGTGGCAGGAGGTGGTGGCCGCTAGACGGGGACATCCTCGTGGACGCGGACCCGGAGGGGACAGATGCGGAGCGCTTCGGGCAGCGCGCCCTCCGGCCTGCCCCCCACGTAAAAATAGGGGAAGACGGTGCCGCCAAAGTTCTCGTGGAAGGTGTAGATGTGGGTCTTGCGGTCGGCATCGTAGAAGGAGAGCTCTCCTTCATTGCAGTCCAGCTCCACCCGGATCCGTCTCAGGTCGCCCACCACCGCCTCGGAACGCGCCGTGTTGGATGCTCGGCACGTCTCGCCGTTCTTCCCAGGCAGGCGGTAGATGTACCAGAAGCCGGAACGAGCATCGTGGTGGAAGGTCCAGTGGGTGCCACCGCACGGCCGGGCCACCCCCACCCTCCAGTTCATGATGCCGCCCAGGTCCACCTCCCAAGTGTGGAAGCCCGTGGAGAAGCCGTGGGAGCCCAGGATGCAGGGGGCCGAGGTGAAGCGCTCGGGGTTCTCCACCAGTGGCTTGTAGCCCCCGTTGGTGACACTGGTGAGGTCCTCAGACACCGAGAGCCAGCACCCCGCGGAGTTGGGGTCGAAGCTGAAGGGCACTGTGGTGGGGACATAAGTGTTAGGAGCATGTCTTGCTGTAGGGACGAGCTCGTGGGGGGACCACAGCCCTGCAAGTATCCATCCATCCATCCATCCATGCACCCATCCATCCATCCACCCACCCATCCATCCTTTCCTAACCCAGCTCACTATGGAGAAATGCACCCTCTGGGGCTTCCCTTTTGGGGTGTAAGTGCCCCAGAGCACCCTTTATGCTCTCCAACCTCCTTCCCCAGGGCCATCAGCCACGGGCATGGTTGCTTCACGCTCCTCTCCAGCACCCACCGCCCCTGGGATTGCCCCATGCGAAGGCTGCTTTAGCTGTAGAACCACAAAGTGGTTTGAGTGGGGACCTTTAAAGACCATCTAGTTCCAACCCCCAGCCCTGGGCAGGGACACCTCCCACCAGCCCAGGTTGCTCCAAGCCCCGTCCAACCTGGCCTTGAACCCCTCCAGGGATGGGGCAGCCACAGCTTCTCGGGGCAACCTGCCCCAGGGGATCACCACCCGCACAGGAAAGGATTTATCCCTCAGATCTCATCTCAATCTCCCCTCTTCCAGTGTAAAACCATTCCCCCTCATCCCACGGCTCCCCTCCCTGACCCAGAGTCCCTCCCCAGCTCTCCTGGAGCCCCTTTAGGCACTGGAAGGGGCTCTGAGGTCTCCCCTTTTTGGCCTTCTCTTCTCCAGGCTGAACCCCCCCAACTCTCCCAGCCTGTCCTCCCAGCAGAGGGGCTCCAGCCCTCCCAGCATCTCCGGGGCCTCCTCTGGCCCCGCTCCACCAGGTCCATGTCTCTCCTGTGCTGAGGCCCCCGAGCTGGAGGCAGCACTGCAGGGGGGTCTCCCCAGAGCAGAGCGCAGCAGAGGGGCACAATCCCCCCTCGCCCTGCTGGCCACGCTGCTGGGGATGCAGCCCGGGATGCCGGGGGCTCACTGGGCTGCCAGACCACGTTGCCGGCTCCTGGCCAGCTTTTCCCCCCATTAACCTCGGCACAACCACTCTTTGAGGGGGACCCACGTGTCCCCCAGGCCCAGCACCTCACCGACAGTGATGGTGTCCAGCATCTTCTTCCACACGTTGTACTGCAGTGAGCCCAGGTACTTGGCAACGTCGAGGAGCATCCCCGAGGGCACAGCCTCCGGCTCCTCGGCCGTGCAGGCGATCCTAGGGCAGGGGCAAGAGGACGGAGAGGGGTCAAGGATGGAGGAAGGGACTGAGCTGGGTCTCCTGGGACCCTGGGTTTTGGCAGGGATTTCCCCACCGGCATCCCACATCTCCTCCTGGGCTTTGCCTCCACCCTGTTCTCACCCCAGGAGGGTGGTGAATCCCCCCAGGAGGATCCCGAATCCCCCCAGGAGGGTCCCGAATCCCCCCAACCTCACGGTTTTAATGTTTCCCCCAAGACCTGCAATGCTGCTTTGTGTCTGCATGCACATCCCCCCCTAATCCTGCCCGGAGGCACCCATGGGTGCTGCCATGCCTTGGGGACACCCAACACCTTCTTCTGCCAGAGCAGCCGGATCCAGAGGGGACATGTGGGTCCGGGAATTCGCTTGGGGCAGAGATGTCACTCTGCAGGAGACCCCCTTCAGCCCCAGAGAGGGGGTGCGGGGGTTCAGCCACCCCGAGCATCCCGTGTCACCAGGCAGGGGACGTGGCGGGGACCGGGATTTACCTGCGCTTGCGGTTCTTGTGGCTCTGAAAGAGAAGGAGACACCGAGCATCAGATCCTTGCTTGTAAGGGGTCGCGGGGGCTGGCAAACCCCCAAAGCATTGCCCAACACCCTCCCCCCTCACACCCCGGCACGGGGCAGGACCCCGGCGGGTGCCCTTTACCATGAGAAAGGTGTAGTCATCCTCCTTGAGGTCCGCCTGGAGCTGGAAGGCTTCGTTGAGCAGGGTCTGCCTCTCCTTGGCCAACCGCTTCATCTTGCCCTCGATGAGGCTGTGCTTGTGCCGCGTCTCCTCCTGCAGCCGGGCACGCAGCGCCTTCTCCTCGCCCCGCAGGAACTCGTGCAGCTTCTCAAACTCCTTCCCGATCTGCTCCTCCAACCGCGCCGCTTCCACCTGCCCCATACGGGGACATCACCACCTCTCTGCGCAGCCCCCAATTCCCCTGGGCTCCCTCCCCATC